TTTTAGAAAATAAAAAATAAACACGTGGCAGCAGAAGACCCACCCGGTGTTTTTCACCGGGTGTAGCATCGAAGGAACCCTGTTTATGTGTCTATTCTGTTTTTTTTCCAAATGATTACTAATTTAAATTTCAATTCACCAATTACTATGCAACCTCCATAAATTAATACTCAATAAATTATTAACCTTTTTTTAAATAATATTTTTCGTCGATACATACTCGGAACAAAATTTACTAAATTATTAGTTGTATAATTTAATATTTCGTTAAATTAATAAAAATTTATAACTGCCGACTGCATTAATTTATAACATTTAATATACATGGGCTCTTCTTGATTCGGCCCATATTTGAGCATCGCCTTAGCCTGTAGGCCCAATAAGCTTAGATTTTGGCCCATGTTGGAATCAAATTAATTGCTTAGTTAATTATATTTCATTTTCTTTATAATTTAATGAAAATTCATTGAACAGCTAGCAAATGGCTGTTGCAATAAAAAGACTTGAAATTTGAGTTTGTGTGATAGAACAAATGTTGGGTTGGTGAGGAGATTATTACATGTTAGGAAGATATATTTTAATTATTAATTAAGTATAAATTATAAATTGAATTGAGATCACATAAATAGTTTGAGTATATCTTAAAATCTAGGGTAAATTACAAACACCCCCCTAAGGTATGGTCAAATTACAAAAACACCCCTCTTGTTTGGATAATTACAACCACCCCCTCAACTCCTCAAATTTAGTGGAATCTTCGAGATTATATGGAATATTATCACTTGTGTACCCGTTTTATCCCATTGAAACTCTACATTATGAAGCAAGATGATCATAATATGCGATTTTTAGCTTGTATATATCAGTTTGTGGTGCATCGAAAACTGTATTTTTACACAAAACGAGTACAAACTAGAGCACATTCCACGGAATCTAGATGATTATGTTGAATTTGGCACAATAAGGGTGGAGGTGTAAGAAAAAATCATAGTTGAGGGGGGTAGATGTAATTATCCAAACAAGAGGGGGATTTTTGTAATTTGACCATACCTCAGGGGGGTGTTTGTAATTTACCCTAAAATCTATTTTAACACATTGAGTGGATAGACTGCAGCAAACCGCAGTGGACCCAAAACTTTGATATTTATGTTATTTGATCTGATCTGATCTGATATTATATGATACAGAAGTTTCACTAGTGAAATAAATACCCACGGATTTATTGCAACACCCTCTATTTATTTCTTTAATTTCTTTATTTATTTATCTGGTTCAACGCTCTATTGTCAATAAAAAAAAATAAAAAAAAACTTATCAGCTCTTAAAATAGCTTATTAGATTTGAGAGCTTATCAGTTATTTAAAATAAGTTTTTAGTCAAACGAGCTCGAAATAGTATAAGTTGGTAATATATTCGGTTGACAAGATTTAATATTAATATAATTGTGTTATTTATTAATTTGGAGGAGTAAATTATTGGATAAACAAAATGATAGGAATCCAAAGTTGTATGTTCCATATTGTCTAGTCTTTAAGAACACTCCATACATGCAAAAGCAATATGAACACGATCCCATGTCAATTTTTTTGTGTACACTCTCATATTATATGCTTTTATTTTATTTTTTTAGTGTTAAAAAAATTATGTTATGTGTCAATTTTTTATTTCATTGTTAGCTTTGTTACTTTATTTATTATTTATCCCCTTTAGGCCAAAAAGTATCGGCAAAGAATGATTAAAGTTTGATTTGGACCCGGTCTATGAGATGCTACATTCGATGAAATACATTGGATGATTTTTTAAATCGTTGATCCGTACAATTAATTATTCATTAACCACACATACATATGAATGTATGTATTAGTTTATAATCTATAGTTTAAAATCATATGATGTATTTCACTGAATGTGGCAACTTGTAGACCTTTAAACCTTATGTATGATCTTAATTGAACAACCTAAATTTATATTTGTGGACAATAAACAACAAACGAGCTGCCTAAACTTTATTAAATATTTAAATTTTTGTGTCTCGAAAAGAAGATAATAATAATAATAATAATTATTATTATTATTATAATAATATTTTTGCTGTGTATCACTCACTGTCTTTGATGAACCATATTCCAAATTCTAGTTTACCACACCGCCATTTTGTCGCCCCTAATTAATTTATAAGTTAATTTTATAATTACGATATAGTTTTTTTCGTATTTGAGTGTTGTATATTGTATCTATATATATTAGGAGAAGACGTTTCAAAATCAAATTAGCTATCATTAATTTTCATGATAGATAGTGACTTTTAAAATGTAAATATGACAAAAGTTTACACTAACTTATAAGACATAAACACCCTCGTTAATTAAACACCCCTTTTTAAATTACTCAAATATGCAGACTTATAATTACACTTTATTATGTATATAAAAAAAAATTAAAATAATATTTCAACTTCAATTATGACACACACTAATGCCAACCCACCCACCACCCACCCCACGTCAGTTAGAGAGAGAAAAAAAAAAAGGGTAAAGCCCATATGGGGCAGCTGAGGTTTGTCGATCACTTGTCCCCTAATTGCAGCTCCACTTGCTGAATTATGTTTCCCACCTCTCTCCTTTTTCCTAATTAATTAATTCATACTTTAATTATTTAATTAAGGGTAAACTTCATTTTACCTACCTGTACTATAGCCAACGTATAAAATACCCCCTCGAACTTCAAAATGAATCAAAACAGTCCCTCCGTTAAAAATCCATCCACCTCTGCTGACATGGCACATTGACTTTTTAAATTATATCCAGTGGCATGACAAGTGGCTTTTTCCGGACAATTTTACCCCTGCTGTATATTTTTATATATGGTCTAATTAGAAGGGTTTTTGTGAATCAGTTAATACAATTAAATATTTAATTTTTATTTTCCGTCAAATAATTAAAATAAACTGTGAATTAATATATAATTTTTATTCTAATTTTAAAAGTAAAGTAATCTCATTAAATAAAAAAACACAATATAATTAATACTTAAAAGAAGTCATAATCCAATTTTCTTGGTCAACCCCTCCCAATGGACTCGTCTCCTCCGCAGCTGCAGTAACATTATCGGCATCAAAGAATCCTTACAGAAAACAGTCAAAGGAAAAAATCATCACTCCC